AAAAAAAAATTAGCATAGTCATTTAATATTAAAAATTCTATTACTGTAAATATAAAATATATTTATAAAATTATTAACAAAAGTACCTCTTCAACGGTAAATTCTGCCGTGTTATCAATAACAAAGTCATCGGATCTTGACATCTTCAAATAAATGATATATATAAAACCGTAATGTGTATATGAAATTTATGAAATTTTTAGGAGTGTGCATATTTGAGCTCATATATTGAAGGCTATATATAGAATATAAAGGGGTGTATAATAATGAAAGCATAGAAAAAATATGAAAGCATCATAGAAAATGGTTGTCATACAAAAATTGTTGTCATACAAAAATTGTTGTATAATAATGAAAGCATAGAAAAAATATGATATGACAATAGGGGGGGTGTATAATTGGTAATTTGTGGGTCATATCATTAAAAAATAAATAAAAAGATGATGTGACAATAGGGGTGTATAATTGGAAGTGTGAGTCATGTCACTAAAAAAATAAAAAAGTTGATTTGACAATAGGGGGGTGTATAATTAGAAATGAGTGGTCATGTCACTAAAAAAAAAAGTGATGTGACAAGAGGAGTGTATATTTAGTAATTGGGGGGTGTACATTTAGTAATTTAAATAATTATACAATATTTTATCAATTAATTAAGAAGGAGGTGTACAATTAGTAAAAAGGGGTGTACATATAGCATTGCCCTTTCTCAAATCTCCTTCCTGGGCAGTAATGTAATAAAATCAGCACAATATTTCATTCACAAGCTATTGTGAGCAAAAATTGTTAGCCGAGTTTAGGTTTATTATACTATCTATATCTATATATATATAATTGCTAGCTAAGCAATAAATTTTACCTAATAAGTAAAACCTAATAAATTTTACATATGTGGCAAATCATTAATAAAACCTAATAAATAGAACCTAATAAATTTTATTTATGTGGCATTAATACACCCAATCTCATTAATAAGAAAATATTTCATTACATTTTTTGGGTTAATTAAGACAAAAACCATTATATTTTATGTTAGTTGATAATAATTATATTTTTTATTGAATAATATAATAGTTAATATTAAAATTAGTAATTATATTTTATACTAAATAATATATGAAAGTTACATAAAATTATATTTTACACTAAAATCAATATTTTTTTATATGATGAGGATGTTGTTTATTAATAAAATAATTTTTTTTTATGTCATAGTAAAATTTCTTAAAATCACATAAGCAATTGTTATAATAAATGTAATATTTTTCAGCTAATTATTGGTCATGATCACTCAAAATTATAAAAAGTATATATTTATTGTATTTTATGCAATCAATATAGTGATTCGTATACAATCAAATTGTGTGTACTATTTATTTTAACCAATGATCAAATTTTAAAATATAATACTATTATATAATTTATAACTTTAATATTATATACATAAATATAACTTATAATACTATATGTTTGAAATATAATACAATTATATAACTTATAATTTTTATATTATATATATAATATAACTTATAATATTTAATTTTATTTACATCTGTGCAAATGCACAGGGTCGAATACTAGTATGAATAAATATACATCATTATATTATTAAATATGAACATTTATTAGGAATATGTTTAGAACTGTAACAAAATAATCATCGTATTATATGGTCCTTTTTTTCTTTTTTTCGCTGGTCGGTTCTCCTCACGAAAAATGTGTATGATCCTGTACCGGATCAACCGAAGTATATCTCTGATGCGCATGAGCTAGCGGATACTAGATCTGTCAGGAGCCCAGGTGACCCGATATTGGGAGGGTGGTGACACAGCAACGTCCAACTCTATCCATATGCATGTGGAGAGGCGTGCAACAATCTGGGGTGTTTGTATCTCAGCGTCATAGCTCGAGAAGGCCTGCAGGGGTGTGTGGCCGAAAACGCTGATGAGCTCTCTATTGTGGTCCCGTATAAGACTGATAACTCTGGTGTGACGGTCGAATGAGCCGTCAGTGGTCAGCTTGATCCAAGGCGGTTCGGATCTCAGCCAAACAATAACTTTAGGGCGGAGAGACTAGATAGGTTGTTGGACTGTCGAAATAAACCTGCGTGGCGGCGTACAACCTATGCAGTCTAGGGGTGTGAGTTTGTCCGAGGCTGTAATCAGAGAGATGTGTCACTTCACCTGCAAAAAAAAATATGTGAGCATAAAATGGTAATGATCCTATGCTTCGCACTGTTCCTCTCTATCCAGATGAACCACAGGAAAAAGACAAGGAATGAGGAAGCCCACATGTCGATTGTGTGTGCGGTGTACGTAAGAAAAAATTCAAGAGCACAAAGAAATTTTTATTCGTGTGTGGGGATATATGGATGAGTGCTAAAAAAATGATCCCACACTCTCCAAAAAAAGATGGGTAAAGGTCTTTGTATGGTACCGACCAGTATTGGAACAATAAACACACCACGAGGGGAAGGAAAAGCCCCTCGCTCCGTGTCTATGCGGATCTGGTGCAAAAGAAAACACCAAACAAAGACCAAGATAGTCGGGGTCAATAGCTCCAAAGAAAAGTTAGGCCGGTCTCTCAGCCTGACAGCCTCCCAAACCAAGGACGTAGAAAAAACACCTAAAGATGTAAGTCTCCACCACATACTATCCGAACTGTCCTCAGAGAGGGGAATCTGGTGGATCTGGTTTAAAGTTTGCTCACTGAAACTCGCACCCACCCACTCTATAT